GTTTCATTTCAAGAAAACCCTGCTAGATTGCTTTTTCTCAGTGGTAAAAATATAGTCAAATTGAAGCTGAAAGCATAAAGAATCGTTTGCATGCATTCAGCGAAGTGTTTTCGTAAGCAAATCCAGTGAAAATAGTGTTTCAATTTGGGTTGCCGAAAATAGTCTGTCATGCCGAAGCCGTCATTTCCCCTATATAAAAAAATAGAAGCAAATGTGTGCGTCGTTCTACCATGTTATACATAAAAATCAAGGCAAATGTTGTGTAGGTGAAAGCATAGACAGAGCATGGAATAAAAAAAAAGATTAAACATCATTGCATCGTTGCTGCTAAGTTACTTTTTATTTTCATTGATTTTTAAGAATGTCTACTTTTTTAATGTTCTGGACTAGAAGAAAAAATGTCGAGAATTTATATTATATCAATATTTAATCGATAGTATTATTATAGATAGACGTCTTCAGGCTCCACAATTTGACCAATAGTTAGGGATTTTTCTTTAACCTCAGGAATCTTCGTAAAACTTAAAAGACTTCTAAAGAGTTCAGCGAAAATCGAAAAAAAAATATCAAAACTTAGAAGAAATTATGAGAATTTTATTGAGCTTCAGAATAATTCGTAGAAACTCAGGGAGCTGAATTCGTGGAAAAGTAAAAATAAACTGCGTAGAAGTGGGAACTCCATTTATGCTATGGGATCTTCGTAGAAGTTGAACATTATTTAAATTCAGGGAACCTCATTATTGTGCGGGGATCTTCATATAATTTTAGGACACTTTTTTGAAGCCTTATGAGCCTGAGAAATAGTTCCGGGAATTACGTACTAGTTTAAGAAATTTCATACGTGGAACTTCGCGGAAAATCGAGGAAAAACGTAGAAGTGCAGAAAACTTTGTAGAAGTTTTGCGAATTCCGTAGTATTTTACAGGATTGTAAAGTTTGTGTTTGACACATAAAACTTGCAAATTTAGCTTTGACAGAGTCACAATGAGTGGTTTTCTGATCGCCTTTTCGCGAAGAGTGAAGAGCGAAGAGTGGGTGAGATAAATGACAAAATCGCTTATTGCGACTCTCATGTAGCAAAATTGGCAGGTATTATGTGTCAAACACAAACTTTACAATATTTTCTTGTTGCTTACGCAATCAAAATATTATCATAATATCTTATTATTCCATAATTTAATAAAACATATTTTTGCCGAAATTAATGGTACGAACCCTGGTGTTTTGAGGAGCTTCGTTTAATTTCAAGAAACTTTGCAGATGTTCAAGAATATTTGTAGATGCTGGGAATCTTTTCAGAGATCTTTGTAGAATTAAGAGAGATGAAAAAATATGGAATTTGGAATAAATTCAGAGAACTTCGTAGAATTTGAGGTCATTTTGTAAAACTTTAGGGAGTTTTGTACAGAGATGGGATAGAAACTCAGAGTGGTGCAAACATATTTGTGCTGCTCTCAAATACGGGAGCGTGTCTCTTATCTTTGGTAGGAGAAAGAGACAAAGGAGAAAGAGAGAGAGAGAGAAAGAGGGAACGTTGCATAGGTTACAGCATATTCTTTCATACAGCCTTCCTAGACAACAGGCTCCAGATAGACGATGATTTTAGTAAAGTTCCTTGGATATTTTTTCAAGACTTCATGATTATCAATTTCTGAAGATATCCAACAGTTTGAAAGACACGTCTTATATATTCTTTGAAAACTGCAGGTAGATCAGAAAGTATTCAAATGTACTCCAGATAATCGAATCCGAAGGAATCTTGAATGATGAATCTAGACTTTATGGAAATGTTTGTACATTTTCTATAGAGAAGACGCATACCCTGGTGATTTAGCTATTTTTTTTTTCAATAATTAACACTTCATAGTATAGTTTAGTTGGTTTGGAACATTGAATAAAATTTGCTGAAAATAAGAAAGAAAACAACATAAAAACATCGAAAAAGCTCTTATCGGTATAAAATACGAGTAAATAAGAAATTGGTTGAACCTAAACTAACAAAATTTCTATTAAAAAAAATAAAATAACCTTATAAGGTTTTGTAATGGGTGTTCAATAAAAAATGAGAATTATTTCAGTGCCTTCCAGCGCTGTTGTGAGAGCATCTAAGTTGCGTCGTATGGTTAACCAGGGCCCCTTCTCCAATATTCATTGACGTTTTTTGAAGAAAAAATATTATGTTTTTAATAAAAAAATACTGAATTCGTTGAAAAAAAAAATTCTTTTTACTAGCTATATGACTGAAAAAATTCTCATTTTTTATTGAACACCAGTTAGAAAGAAATTCAAATAGTATCTGGTTACAAAAAGAAGCACGATCATACAAGTTTGGAGTTCATTGTTATTTCCTCGATTTGTTTTCCGTCGTTCTTGTTTTCCGTACTGAGTATCCAATGCTACCAACGCCAGGGAGGCAGCTCCCACACCTGGACCCTTCATATCGACCCATCAACTCATGGACCAGTGACCAACGGTTTTTTACTTCCCTTCAGATCAGAACGATCAAAGATTTCATGCCTCAGAAACGGCGCCGCCTGGTATTGAACCAAGGCTTTTTGGAAAAGAGGCAGTCACGCTTACCACTACATCACCGGCGCCACTGAAGTTCATTCATTTCAACTAGAATTGAAGTAAAATTTGGGACTTTAATCTTGATTTTATATCTAACTCCGTGATCTTGAAAGTTAGTTAGCCCGAGGTATTGAAAAAAAAATCTAGATAATCGCTTTATGATTATTTTTTCCATCAATTAGGGGAAATTTCGGCTTCGTCAATACCTCAACCTATTATCGTCGTAACAAAGTCCTAGAGCACTCAAATTTGGCCAATAGATGCTCTGAAACACAATGCTCTCAACGACGTTGTTTACCCCCTGACGATAATACGTTAAGGTATTACCGAAGCCGACTTTTCCCCTATTAGAATCCGGAAATTTGAAATACGCTAGGTGTCTTAAAAATCTGAAGAAAATTAAATTATAACCTGATATTTATATGACTGCGATTCTTGATTTCTTGATTGATTTTTATCTCGAACAATTTTCCTTTCGAAAAATGATGCTCTCAGAATCTAGGTAAGTTTCCCAAGATCTTTACTAAAGATTTTATGCTGAAGTCAGGGAGATTCAAAGCTGGTCCATTAGCTCGAAACTTTGTCATGAACTAGATTTATAATCAAATTACAGTCTAGGAAATGATCTGAAGCTTCATGTTAGTATTCTAATTACAATTGAATTTGTAGAATTTATACTTGCAATATGTATCAGAGATATCTATTTCTTAGCTACGAAATCTTGAAAACATATGGGTCTAGGATCGCAAAACTATTTTTATTTTTACTTTCAAAATGTTAGGAATTGTTCGTTGACAGTATTTCGAACATTTTCCTGAGTCCTAATTTTAATAAATTCATTCTATGTGCACATTGCCATACTTTAGAGCCCAAGAACTGAACGCTTAGATTAATACACCTCTACTACAAATATCAGAAAAGTTGGATGAGAGAAACCATTTTAAATTATGGTTTAAAATATTATTTTGTAGAGCAACCACTATGTACCTTGGATAATTTTTTTGATGTTTTCCACCATATGTAGCAAATGGACTTGTGCGGTTTCTCAAATAAATAATTTGATTAGAATTAAGATCGCAACTAGCACCAATCACAACTAGAATTATAGTTACAAATAGTACCTTATTATGATCTGCCCGATTTAGCCCAAGGCTGCCCTAAATTATTGCCACCGGTTTTATGCACCCATGTACACATCCCGCCCGCTGTTGGTGTGTCTGGTTGGTGGCTTGGTTCGTGAAGCATACCGCGATTAGTTTGCGATTGGCAAGGAATTGAATTTATGTTGAGATTATTTCGCTCACTTTCGTCTCCGTTGTTTCTCGCAGAGCGACCGGGCGAGGGGAGAGCTTATCGCCCTTCAGTCATTCTGCTGCGTGTCGTCCAATTATGCCAACTGCCAGAAACCGCGCTTGTTCGACGACGACGAGGCCAACCAAGTTCTCCGGAACGCGAACGCGAATTGCGGATAACCGGTAGTGTGTGAGATGGAAAATTAAAAACAATAAAAAGTAGTTTGATACCGATGGAATTCAGCATTAATTTAATTTAATTATTCTTCTTAGCCTGGTTCTAAGATTTTCGGACGCGTAACGAACAACGGTTTGCTTGCTGATTATTTTTCTCCATTGGTGCTGAAATAGGAATCCAAGAAAACTCGATGCAACTGGGATGATAAATTATCTGCATTTTTGCTTGCTCGGGTGGATTCGGGCAAAGTGGGGGAAATTATTGTTTTTTTTTTTCTTTTTGTATTGACCAGAATGGGGTCGACCATGGCGTGATTGTCCTTTTATAGGATTGAAATAAACATTGTGAGGGTAGGTGCATATTCAATTGGCTATTGAATGGTAATTTCGTTTGTACTTGTTGCCAATTACAAGCGGGAGGCAAGAGCTTGCGGGCCATCTTGTACGAACGCGTGAACACGTGGACAGCTGACCCGATGCGATATATGGATGGCATATGCTCACTATCCACGGCTGCCGTGACTTCTTGGACTAGGCGATGGCGAGAATATTCCCCGTGGCTTCGAACCGTCATCGAATGGACATCATTCGACACTCAGGTGTAGCTAATGTAATTAATTAATCACAATTCCTATGGTGATTGGAGGTGGGAATAATCGATCAAAGGAAAGCTTTTTACCTTGTAGGGATGCTATGACGATAAATTGCCAATCGTTACAAAAAGTCAAATCAGATATGGATTCATACTTAAATTGATTGAGTTTCTTGAAGAGATGTTCAGCTTCATAGTTCCATCAAACTGTGACATCCCTACATTTCTAGTAACCGAAATCACAATCATCCTTCAATTAACGTCATCACAGGTGGAAACGTACGCTTTCGTCTAATCAATCGGTTCTTATAATTCTCGTGCCCTAATCCCTAATTACCTTATACCCATATAGCTCCAGCCGGTCTTACCTTCGAAGCTGAGTGATTGTCTTTCCTCGGTAATCACATCCATGCTCAGTGCAGACAAAGTTACGTTCCTCCGAGTGACGGCTGAGCAGATGGGTTCGCACCTCGGCCGCACTTCGGCCGATGTAGTAGCAGTTTTCGTGCTGACAGGCGAATTCTTTAATCGATCTCCGCTCCACGTGGACCTTGGCGTGTTGGGATAGGATTTTGCTGGAATGGAATAAATTATCGGTATTGAGTAGGATGTGTTAATCGGTATGATGTAAGATGATTTTGGACTAATTTTTTTAGGAACCCTCCGGTCTTCAATGATACTTAATGTAATACTGTAACGTTTCTTTAATAATTATTCCATTCCATGTTAAAGTAGATGTGTTGCAGTAATAGCAAATATTTTCAAACTACTGAATTATTACTCCAATAACTACCAAAACTCCTAATATGAATGCTTGCAAGTTGAATTTAAACCCAGAATTAATACAGGTGAGATGAGACACTTTTATTAAATTTATGTTCTAGAAAAAGCTTCCGAATGAATATTCAAAAAGATTAGTCGATAGTTTCTACAAAAGTTCTAGTTACTTAAACATGAATAATGTAATATAAGTTGTAGACGCCGACCGATAGTCAATTCATAATGGAGGACTTATGATTTCAGATATCCTCCAGAACCAGACGCCCACATTCATGAGGACTTCAGAACCTGTTGATTGAACGCAAGGATAGTGCGAATTAAGAATAAATCTATTATACTAAGGGACATACCAAAAGGATCTCGAAATCACACACTTAGAGATTATTGCCGACTTCGGTAATTTTTACCGAAATCTGAACTGTCCAAGCTGAACATTGCATTAAGTAACTGAGGATGCGAAAAGGAAGTAGACGAAGAAATTCTGTCAATATTACTTAGGACCTAATGCATGTTCAGCTTGAGTTAAACTGTTCGGCAACATTTAGGCAGCTCAATTTAATTGTGTTAAAGCGCTGCGTTTTGATCCAAGAGCGTATAGGGCATCGTTGTGCCAGGTTGGTCGTGGCACATTTCAAGTATGAGAGGGTGATTGCAGTTTGCCCAAAAGTGCCTGAATAAAATGCAAGTACTTTTGATGATTATCCGTAGTTGTGACAGTGAAGATGAATACCCATATTTTCGTTTATGTCCGGGCGTGTTCGCCATACAGAAATCTTTTTTTCGCTTCAGTTTGAAAAGTACGTCGTTTCGTAACCGATGAAACATTCTGATGGCTCACATTACCCTGCAGGCGCCGTGGGTTTGCAGGGTCCAATGTGGGTTAGCTTGATGTTTATAAAGTAGTATCAGTTAAAACTGTATTTTTGAACTTTATCTCTATATATTCTTTTGTATTTCCTAGCAGATTATCATGTTGATGTTCGCTGATTCAAAGAATAAATGGGATAAACATTGAGGTGTCCATAGTTGGGCATTGTTGAACTTGTGGTACAACATTTAATGTGAGTACCCAAGTAACCATATACTCACAAAATAACTTTAAATATAGGTTCAGCGTGAGACAATATCACTGAGACACGATATGATTAGTCGTGTTAGTTGGGTATTTATAGGAATCTATTCTTGAAAAAACTAATCCTGGTTGTATCTATTTTACGTTTGCATGTAATACTATTTGATATTACTAACCATATCAAATCTATGATGCACAAAGCGTTCATTCGGGGTAGTGAGCGAACTTAAAGAAGAAGAAAATGACTATACAATAATCATAAATAGATGAAATTCAAATTTATATGATAGGTAAGTGGATCAACGCCTCCCTTAGCTCAGTCGGTAAAGGCGCAGCTACAAAGCAATACCATGCTGGAGGTGGCTGGGCAATTCCCGGGCCGGTCTAGGAATTTTTCGGGTTGAAAAATTTCTCGACTTCCCTGGGCATAGAAGTATGATTGGACTTGCCACACAATTATACCAATGCAAAAATGGTACAGGCATCGTAAGCTCTCAATTAATAACTGTGGAAGTGCATCTAGAACACTAAGTTGAGAGCAAGCAATAAGCTAATATACGATATGCAATAAGCGAAGAAGAAGAAGAAGAAAACGTGGATCAACGATATCTAAACATGCGCATTCAATCTCGACGACTTCTAATTCTACATGTCAACACCTTTGACTCTCCTTTCTCTGATCCTTCACCAATGCATCTTCGCTTCTATGTTAAGAATCAACTAGCCCTAATTTATTTTCGGCAGATTTCAATCGACTTGATGCGATTGCGATGGGGAGAGTGAAGGTGTCAACTCCCTTTTGCTAAAATTGAGTGGATAAAAGGCAGGCTCTTCTCCCCATTCATTGGGGCATCTTACTGTTGGATGGCTTGTTTTCTGACCAATTGGCTAATCAAGTTGTTGGAAGGAAATTCTTAACTGTCCCAAGGAAATGAATAGGCGAATTGCCTGTATATCCATCCATTCATTTTTGACCGTTCATACAGCGATTTGCTGATGACAATCATAGGTTATTAAGCTTGATCAAGTTCAACAGTGAGAAGAGCCCACAGCTATACAGCTACAGAAAAACAAAAACGCTACAACAATGACAAAATTTGATCATTTACATATTAAAGATGCAAGTGTTTTGAAATCATTTTTGAGAAAAATAGGTTTTAAAATGGAGGTAAACGTTTTACCGAGATTTTGGTAAAAAATACCGAAGGCAACAAAAAATTTAATGTTTGAAAATCAAATATTAAGGCAAAAATCAGTTCCTTTATTTATTCGTCGTCAATCAAACGATGTATGATTTAATAAAAATAAGGAATTTTAAGTTTTCTAGATTTTGTTTAATAACTTTTGGTATCACTTACTTATATGCCTAAGCAATACAATTTATCATAAACGCGTTTATAAAACTCATATATAGCGGCACCGGTGGTGTACTGATAAGCGTGATTACCTCTCAACCCAAAAGGCCTGGGTTCAATCCCAGTCGGCGCCGCCGGGATTTTCTGAGGCCGTTCGGAAGGGAAGTGAAACAGTTGGTCCCCGGTCCATGAGTTTGATGGGCCGATAGGTAGGGTCCAGGCGTGGAAGCTGCCTTCCTGGCATTTTGTATAATAAGGCTAGAAAGTTTACAGCAAATACAAGCAATTATAGATGTGTTATTAACAGGTAATTGAGATATGCTATACCGAATTATAACTTCAAGATAACAAGTGCTTGTCAGAAAGATTGAATACTCGCAAACAACAATACATATTTAAGATTAAAACAAGATGTTTTGAAAGCAATAATATGTAGCTTGGGCCTCCCTTAGCTCAGTCAGTAAAGGCGCAGTTACAATGCAAGGAGTTTTACGGGTTGGAAAATTTCTCGACTTTCCTGGGCATAGAGTATGATTGTACTTGTCACCATGCTTGGCATACACAGTTTTGGTCACGAACTGCTCATTTGCTAATAACTTTGCACACAGTTGACAAAACATAGTTCTGTTTGAAGCAGTAGATAGAATAAAGGTTTAGCTTGTAATAAGTACGTACGAAAAAGTAGGTTTTAATTATAATAATAAACTGTTTTTGTTTTTGCGTTGTAAAAATCAAGTGAGAAATGCTCGCTGCACATCTCGGACTTAAAGTGTAAAAATTCATTGGTGTTGATTCAAATGTTATGATCAACATACTCTTTCTATATCTGTAGTAAGCTATGATCCTAATTTATCAATTACTTTAAAGAAAAAAAAAAAATTTCAGCAACTGAGTGAAAAGTTATTAACAAATGAGCAGTTATACTAATGCAAAAATGGTACAGGCATCGAAAGCTCTCAATTAATAACTGTGGAAGTGCATCTAGAACACTAAGTTGAGAGCACGCAATAAGCTAATATGCGATACGCAATATGCTTGAAATGCGAAGAAGAAGAATATGTAGCTTATTAACAACTGGGATTTCTTTTACGCATTTGCATTTTTACGTTGCTTTTACTGCATTTGTTTATTTTTGTGGCCATAAAAATTACATGAGATTTTCGACATGATTGTAGTGCATCCTCTTGGAAGTAATATTAAAATTTATTTTTTGCTGTGTACACATGTACCCATAAAAGTTCATCAGAACTCAAATGCTGAAAGATATTCTATCCTGCTTTAAAACTTACACTCAATTTACATAAATTTCTTTCGTCTGCTCAGCCTTAAGATTTCCTAAACTCTCTCCTGTATCAAAATGTCGCTCTGATTCTCCCGGTGTAATAGTGACAATGCATAAAAATAGATACAGTAGTTTCTTTTTTATCTTGTAGAAGTGCACTGACCTTGTATTTGAAGTCCCCGGACCCTAGCTTTTGAAATCCTCGAAGCACCTCAATACACAACCGATAAGCTCAACTCAAAATCGAGTCGGTGTTCACTTAAACACTGGCTACTCATAGATTGAGTTAAGGCGATACTTTAAGGAAGCCTTAGCGTGAAATTTCAATAGCACAAATGTCAGTTTCCACAAAACGTACAACTATGGAATTAGTACTCTTTGCTTGTAGTACGAGTGCCCCCTGAGAAAGTGGGTAGTTTCTGATTTGAGTAATATATCTTCATTCGGTATCACAAATCACACGATAATTTGAAATTTAGTTTAATACTGCCGTGAGATGACAACGTGGCTTAAATACATTTAGTGAATTGTTCAGAAAACAGATACTTTTGTTTAACCTTGCAATGATTGAGAAAATTATCAAAATTATTACTGGACCTTTTGAATATAATCGAAACAAAGCTAAAAATATGAACGTTATTCATGTTATATTCATCAAATTGGGGGTGCAATTTCAAAAAAACCAAAATCGACCGCGTTACGAAAAGTTGTCAGGTTTTGACCACTTATAACTCTGTCAATAGTGTGGATGGATTTTAATTCTTAACAAGCCAATCGATTGGAAATGTTTCTACAAATCTGCTAAAATGAACTTTATCAATTTCTAGAAGGTGACTATTGAAAATTACACAAATGTCCAACTGTTGCAATGGTGATTAAAATTATCACCGATTGCCTGCAAAAAGCGCTTTCCCTATCACAGATTTTATAATCGAATTCCATTCGGTCTCACCGAACGGTGCTTATTCAATCACCGTGTGTGGTGGTGTCCGGTCGGTCCTCATCAGCAGCAGCTGCAGCAGTGCTTTCGGCGCGTGGAGATGAACATTGTTCTCCAGTACACAACGAACGGCTGCCCGCAAGCAG